CAGTGTAGTCCCTGTTTTCCATAAGGGCTCTCTAGTCTACCTTGGATGACAAGATTAGCCTTCATGAAAAACCAGGAGAAGCAGTTGATGGCTAGTACAAATAAGTGGTATAGATACTCAGTGGAGAGAATGATACTTGTGAGTTGGGGTGACCAGTGAAGGAGAAGATGTGATGGGAGTTGGTCTTGAGGGAGGAGGATCTGAATAGTGGAAGAGGTGAGGGGAAGGTTTTTTTGGGCAGGGAGGAGTAGGAGAGAAAAGTTTGAGATATATATGATCTATTCAAGGAACAGTGGGGAAACTAATCTGGCTGTAATGGGGAATTCACATGTAGAATCCAGTTTGTCCTGTCTCTTTTGGGTAAATGTGTGTGTTACTTAATGTCTTGGAAAGAAGGAATGCCCAAAGTAGAAACTGAGAAATTGTTTGTATAATCAAATGGAATCTTGAATTGAATAGAAATGGTGTCATGTAGGATGAATTAGAAGGATGCAGAGATCAGAGTTAGGAAAAACATTTGCCAGCTTTTTGCGAGAATCCAAGCAGAGAATAAGGACCTGAAGGACATTAGGGGAGATTGGGATAGAAAGGGAGGGAGGACCTCAAAGAGATCAAAGAAAGAGGAAAAGGGACAATACATACAAAAATATTTATTGCAGCTCTTTTTGTGGTAGCAGAGAATTGGAAACTGAGAGGGGCAACAATTAAGGAAGGGTTGAGCAAGTTCTGGTGTATGAATGTGGTGGAATACTATTTGCTGTAAGAAATGATGAAAGGGAAGGTTTCAGAGAAACCTGGGAAGACTTATATGAACTGATGCAAAGTGAAATTGGTAGAATGAGGAGAACAATTTAGACGGTAACAGCAATATCATAGTGATAATCAACTTTGAAAGGATCAACACAATTCTAAGGGACTCATGATGAAACATACTACACACTGAGAGAGAGAGAGACAGAGAGAGAGAGAGAGAGAGAGAGAGAGAGAGAGAGAGAGAGAGAGAGAGAGAGAGAGAGATAGCTGATAGACCTAGAGTGCAGACTGAAGCATATTTTCTTCTATTTCTTTGTTTATTTTTCTCCTTGGTATATAACTAATGCATACATTTGTTTTGTATATTTATAAAGTTCTTTTTTTCATCTTGTTCTCTTGGAGGTGGGGGGGGACTGAACAAGTTATGGTGTATGAACATGATGTAATATTATTGTATTCTAAGAAATGATGGTAGGCATGATTTCAGAGAAACCTGGGAAGACTTGTATAAACAGGGAGGGGAGGGAAGGGAGGGAATTTGGAACTGCAAATAAAGCAACATTGAATAAAAAAAGAAAGGAAGGGACTAATGTAAGACACATTATAAAGGAATAATTCACAGGACTTGCTGGAGAAAAAGGAAGCAGAAGTCACTCCAGCATTTTAGTTGTGATGACTGGGAGAAGGGTGATATTAACCAAAAAAGAGAAATAAAGAAGGGAAGCAGTTGCTTTTGGGGATGTGTATGTGGAGGGGAGCAGGGTTAATTGGGTTTTAGACATGTTTAATTTAAGGTGATAATAGCCCATCCAGATTGGAATGCCCAGGTGGTGATAATATAACTGGAGTTCATGGAGACAGACTGACATTTTTGGGAATCTCTTAATAATAGCGGACATTTACTGGATGCTTTAAAGTTTATAAATTGCTTTATATGCTTGATCTCATTTGGTCCTTACAGTTATGCTATATTTTGGACAGGATCTGTAATTTCACTTCTGTAAGGAATTCCAGGGAAGAAATACCGTTTACAGAAGCAGATCACCCCTTGTTGGCCTGGGGCATTGAAAGATTAAGTGACCTGCATGGCCATTTAATTTTGTTAAAAACAGTAATTGGAACCCAGGCTACTCTGCCTCTATGGGTTACTCCATGCTGCCTTTTTAGATTCTTTGATTATTCCCATTTATAGATATGAAAAATGAGGCTTAGGGAAATTGAAAGTGACTTGACCAGGGTGATACAGCTAATAAATATCTGGAAAAGGATTCAAGTTTAAATCTTCCTGACTCTGAGTTCAGTGTCCAATCTACTTTTTGGTTATATAGAAATAGTATTGGCATATATATTTTTTCTTTTTTCTGGGGTATGGTGATTACATTCTCATGTGTAGTCTGAAATTCTATTGGCTCCAAATCTGTATTCGTTTTGGGCTGCTTAGAGCATAGTGCTAATGAGTCCCAGGTCATGGTCTGATCACCATATGGGCCTGGTGAGTTTCATGCAGAGAGAAATCCTGCTCCACAGGTCACAGACTTTGCCCTGAATCCCATTCACTTGTCTTGAAAATATGTACCATTAATCCTAAGGGGACTGAGTGAGAAAGTGTGAATAGTTGAGCTCAATTCATCATGACTACTGGAAAAAAAGAGCCAGCATGGGTCAGTTGGATTGTCAACATATATGAAAGCAATTCTCTCATTTGTATGGGGAACTACATAAGAACCAGTGGATGAAGGGCAGGTACCTCATAGTGCAAGGTGAATTTTTTCTGAGAGGGCAGCATCTGCCTGGTTGACTTAACGCTGTAGGAATTCATGTCGTCTTTGCCTCATGGACTTATGATTCTTTTTAGCTGCCCCGAGATCACTTCAGAGGGAACGTCATGAGGCTGAACAGGCACTGACACAGAAGTTGGGAGAAATGATGGGACCTTAAATTCTGCCTCTCATGCTTACCACTTACATGACCTTTGGCAAGTCATTTCATCTCCCTAGGCCTTAGTTTCTTCTGTAAAATGAGAGTTGGACCAGACAGTCTTTGAGGTCTCATCTAGATCTGAAGCAGTGACTGTGCCTCAGTTTCTTTATCTGTAAAAAGAAGAGGCTGAACCAGATGGCTTTTGATATCATTTCTAGTTCTAAGTCTATGACTATGACATTTCTGGACCTCAGTTTCTATATCTATAAAATGAAGGGATTAGACTCAAAGCCTTCTGAGAGCCCTTCCAGTTGTAAATCTATGATCCTACTAAATTTCTTAGACAGTATTTTAGTCCTTACCTGGGTCAAATCTTTCTCTGGATGTGTTGTCTTAGAGCAGATTTATCTACATTTCTGTTTCCAGTGATTGCTATAGCTTTTTCAGAATTTCATTCATAGATTGAATCAAAGAACATTTAAAATCCAGATGTTGCCAACCATCATCCTTTAGTAGACTTCACAGAGTTATAAACTCCCCACACAAATACGTTAGGCAGATGCTCTCTAACTGCCATCCTTCCCAGGGCTGTCTGATAGCATGCCATGAAGCTGGCAATGTATTTCAATATCATCTAAAACTCAAGAATATGTTAATCTTTGGGGATGGTAGATTTATGTGAGTATTGGGTAGTGAGAAGCACCAACATCTAGACCTGCATCTATGTCTTTAAAAATACTGATTCATTACTGTTAAGGGAGCTAAACTTCAATAATTCAAGAAAACAGTGACTGGTTGGTCTTATATCATTTTCCGGGAAATACGATTCCTTGTGGTCACCTTTCAGAGTTGTCCATTTTATCAAGAAAAGCTCTTCATGTGGACCTGAATAAGAAATCCTTATGTAGACCTTCCCCAGGAGCATAAGAGGGCTCAGGGAAGGTCAGAGTTTAACCGATGACACTTCTGTAGTGCCCCAGTCTTCTCCTGCATCACAACAGTGATGTCTGTGATAGGAAATAGTGCTTGTTATCAAGTGCTGGCATTGTAACATGGGTGGGCATGAAGACAAGAATGAGTACATGTGCTGAATGGTTCTCAATGCTTCTGACTGCTAAGGAGATCCCACTGGTTATATTTATATTGGTGGTTTGAAAGCTTTTCAGGAGATAACCAACATAACTTTAGATATTCAAATTCACATGTAGAATGTATCACTTCAAGCTTTGAATGGGGGTGTAGCAAATAGAGCAGACAGACAGGGCATTGCTTTGCTATATTTGGATAGATGGTTTTCTAAATCTCTAACAAGATATTTTGAAACCCTATTTTACCTTGTTGTTCCCAATGTGTTTTGCTTCCATCCCATCCCATCCCATCCCATCCCATCCCTCCCTCCCTCCCTCCCTCCCTCCCTCCCTCCCTCCCTCCCTCCCTCCCTCCCTTCCTTCCTTCCTTCCTTCCTTCCTTCCTTCCTTCCTTCCTTCCTTCCTTCCTTCCTTCCTTCCTTCCTTCCTTCCTTCCTTCCTTCCTTCCTTCCTTCCTTCCTTCTCCCTATCCTGCTTAACCTGGAAATGCAATGGTCTCTCAAAAGAGGTCTCCAAGACCCACTGCTGATTGACACAGAGTCTTTGATCTGCTTCATTTTTATCTTGAGCTACTTCATCTCTCTTTAAGGAGCCTGGTGGTTCTCTGCTTCCTGGGGCTCATCATACTGGTTCCCAACTCAGTGTGGACCCTTGATCGGCTTTAGCCCTACTGCAGCTCAGAACTCTCAAACTCAAGCAATTCAGCATCCCCAGCTTTCTCTAGTAGCAAGGATCACATGTCTGTGTCACCATACTTGGCATGTTGTCTTAATGTCTTTTCAATAGGGAACCAGAATGTTTTATTGAAGCAGGAGATCTTAACACTTGAAAAAGAGCCCCATTCTCATTCACCACATGTATATGTGTGAGTCCCTGTGGATGTGTAATTTGTCATATATGATGTAATCCTCTGCGTCTTGTGTCAAGAATTGCCTGTGCTCCACACTAAATGTTATTCATAGGCAGGTCACTTTGGGTTGTGGTCTGATAGCTCTTGAGACTTATTAGTCCTATATATGTGGTGTAGTTTGGATTAATTTGGTTGTCCTGTTGCTATTGGCACACTTTCAACAGGTGGTTGATTTTGGTTCGTGTATAATTGGAGTTACCATTTTACTTGATTGTCATCCTTGATTGTTGAGAACACAAGCACTTAACAAAAGTTTGTTGACTGATGTTATAGCTGAATTCTTTAGGAATGACACATTATGCCAGTGTTATCCAAAACAGGCCGATTAATCAAACGTGATTAATTTTAATGTAATTACTAAAGAAAAGGAAGATAATATCACTTTATTATGACTCTCTAGCCGTACATTTTCCAAATATGCTTATTACAACAGTAAATGAAAGATAATGATTCAGTTAGTTACATTTTTAGAAGTCATCAGGATCAATATTCCTTCACCATAAATGAATTGAATAATAATTTCAAATACAATCAGGATTAATTTCTTGAAAAATATGCTTTTTTTTTTTTAGCTAAGACATATCATAATGAACTATCGATTGCCATTTTTAGGTTACAAAGTAGCAGGGAAGGTATGGGTTCAGTGCCAGGGGATCTGTTTAGCACACTTGGCCTTAGAAAAGTGATAAAAATATAATGAAGCAAAATGCAAGGTAGAACCATAGTCTTCATACTTCATTAACTCTCCTTATCCAAAGAGGATCTTGTATAGTGCTTGGAGCCCTTGTGTAAACTGGATACATGGTAAGTGACATTGGAAAGCTTTTGCTAATCTTACTCTGAATAGGAGTTATAATGAGATATAGCAAAAAAAAAAAAAGGCTGGTAAATAGGTTGGGTTTGAGAGGCACTCCTGCTGGGTGATTATCAGCAGTTGTATTTATTTTAAGAGTGACCAGAGATGGCAGAGCAAAACAAGATGGAAAAAAAAAGATGAATGGAATCAAGCTCTTAGGTGGGTCTTGGAAAAAGATGGTTCCTAGCTTCAAAGTTGGTGCATTTTGGGCAAAAGATGAAGAACTATTTTCATACATGATTTGGGCCAAAAGACATGCCAGGTCAAATAATGGTGGCCTTCCATGTACAAAATGGCAGATGGGATTCAGTCGACATTCTCTGACAAAGACTTAACATCTTTAGTTTGTTTTATTATCAGGCAATGGGGACAATTGCTCTTATGTCTTCCTCTTGTAACACAGGGAGAGTCTTTAAAAAAAAAAAAGGAGATACTCTTTCCCTTTGCAGAAAGAAGAGCATAAGAAGGACCAATGAAGAATGGAAGGTGAGCATCTGCTCACACTTGTGACTTGTTTATAATAATGTATGGAAAAGGAGTAGATACAAAGAAAAGTTTCAGCTGATCATTCTAAACAGTCTTTTCCAGCTCAGCACTTCTAGAGTAGTCTGCCCTTACCCTTCCTAAGAAGACCCACCAACATGTTAACTGGAAGGGGAAAAAAAAGGACAATGCAAAACAGAACAGATGGAAACCAAATCCAATCCTCTATGCTTTCAACGTAAGGCTTCTTGGTCATCTTGTTCATTGTCAGATGGAAATCTTTCTACTCTGCATGATGTATGAGAACTCCAGCCATTCTTCCCACCATTTCTTGGGGAGGGGGTAGGAATCATAAAGAAAAGACTGATATGTGTCAGGTTCTAACTTTGGAAAGGAAAGCTTTTTTTTTTATGAAAAAGAAAAACAAGTAAAATAGTAGCAAGCAAAGTGTATACTATAGGATTAAATATTAGCATTGGTAAAAATAAACAAACAAACAGGAACAAAACCTTAACAGCTTTCCTTTTAGCTTTTTCTTAATGAAAATACATCATATGTGGTCAGTTTCACTGAGGCATGATCAGGCCTTTGTGACTATAGGTGTGTGTGATTGGTGGGGTGAGAAGATGGAAAAAATACAATGGTCGAATTTTGAAATCAATGGCACTGAACAGATTTGCCAGTGGGCAGACTGGAAAGAAGGCATGGCACTTTTTGAGCTTGCTTTGGATGGGAAGCAGTGTTCTCATAGAGAGCCAACCATAGCAAGTACCTCTCAAATAAATTAGTACAATTGCTTTAATACTAAAAAATAAATGCAAACTATCTTAAATAGACTGATTATAACTTCATTAAGTCAAACATACATTTTTCCTAACTAGCCTATAGTTTCAAAGACTATTTGGGTTTTAACTTACTACCCCTTATTCCAAAAAAAGGAAAAAAAATGAAAGAAAGAACTTAGTCATTTTTTTGCACATTAAGATAATCATAAAGACAATATAAAGTTTAAAAAAACTTCACAGATTGTTAGCCATATCTTTCAACTCTTTCTCATAAGTGTCCTCTTTTTTTTACCTTTATCAGTAGATAACCTATGTCTCACATTGGAAATGCTATGTGGCATGGCTCCTTGCAAAGATCAGAGACTTTGCTTTCTATATGAAGAAGGGCTAAATGCTCATTGAGATGTTTAAATGAAGGGTGAACATCTTTCATGAATGGGAAAGTGCTGAAGAATGTCATAGGGAGAAAGGGGAGAAGGTATTCTTAGCAGTGACTGCACATCCCCACCCACACCCCTAATTTGCTCCTCTCTTTTGACTTTCTGACTTGGGAGCAGATAACAGGGCAACCAGCCCTTGACTGTACCTCTATTTGAGCTCTGCCATTCACTTAGAAATGCTGTCTTTCACTTATGTTTGTGTCTTGAGCCAAGGTATTTAGTTCTATTAATATCCTGATGAGTTTTCCAAGTTCAAGAGCCTACAAAGTCATGGAGGGCCTATGCTGACCTTAATGTCCAAGTTCTACCCCTGCCCCCAAGTTAACCATTTGGAGGCTTTGCTACTTGTGAGTGATTAAAAAAAAGGTGAAAGGTGATGGCTAGACCTAATTCTATTTCAATAAGCCTTACATCTATAGAATCATTGGTTTTTTTCAATACTTTAAAAAAATATTTCTATGCTTTCTTTTGTGTTTTTAGTCAAGTACTTTCTTAAACAAACAATAGCACCACTTTGGCATTGCTGGCCAAATCCGTAAACAGGAAAGCAAGATGGACTGCTATATACTCCTCTAGAAGCCTCCTAGGAAATGTACATTTTCCTGATGGAGACCATTGAGCCATCTGGCATAGGGGACTTCCTACATACCAACAAACTAACCCCTCAAAAGCAGGGGCAGTTTGCAAATGGCTCCTGCATAGGATTCAAATTTTCTTAAATTTTCAGAAACTGATCAGGGATTTGATTTCTGCTCAGAATGCCACCATGCCACCATGAACCCTCTAGCATGTATTCTAGACTGGCAAGTGTCAATAGTTTTTCTGTGTCCACGGGAGAGAGAGATTTTGATGGGAAAGAAGACCACACCTAGTCTGCTTACTACCAGGCTTGACTGTTCATCGGAATCCCTTCTTTTGATGATGGCTAAAGTATGGGATTATAGTAAGATGTGAGCTCCTTCCAGGTAGGAGCAGTCCTATTTTTGTAGTTGTAGTATCAGCACCTAGGAGAGTGCCTTGCATGTCACAAGCTCTTAATAAAAGCTTGTTGATTGGTCGTAGACCACAGCGGTCATCTAGTTCAATCTCATTATATAGATGCAGAAATTGAGACCCAAAGACACACAAGTAGTACTTGGCAGAGTTAGGATTTGAACCCAAAGAGTTCATTGAATCACATTGATCAAAACTGATGCCAATTAGGCTCTTTTGCTTTGGGCAATCTCTTCTTGGGGTGGTGATAATTTTTTCTTTTTCTTTTCTAGTATAAAGTTAGTAGACGAAACAAATAGACCAGTAGCTGGGGTCTAGCTAACACCCATAGTATCATGCACCATCCTGGGTCAGGAGGCTCAGGAAAGGTCTCTTGGAAGTTATGCTGGAGGCTGGAGAATTGAAAGTATTGCCACCACTGAAGAGCCTCTTTAGGAAGGGAGTGTTGGCCATCTACAATGTCTATCACTACTCTCTCAATGAATGGCCAAGATTGATCTCTTGTACAGCCTCTTGTGGTACCGAATACAATGCTCAATAAAAGCTTCTTGACTGGAAATTGACACTGTTTTCAGTACAGAATGATGTGGTGTCAGATATGCAGTATGGTTTCTTTTTGCATGTGTGTCTTTGAATCTCCAATCCCTGGCATGTAAATAGGTGCATGATAAATGCTTATTGACTGACTGATAGGTACATGCTGTCTCCCCTTAAAGAATGTAAGCTCCACGAAAGCAGAGAGTGTTTCATTTTTGTCGGTGGTGTTGTTGGCTTTGTATCACTAGCAACAAGCACAGTGCCTGGTGCACAGTAGGAGCTTAATATATTTTGTCGATCAATTGATTGATTTAAGAAAGTATTTTGATTCTATTGCCAAGGATTGTTTTTTAAAAAACTGTCATTCCTCCTTCTCCTCTTTTTTCTCTTTATAGCTTCCCATTCCTAAAAGCACATACTGTAGACTATTTTTTTAAAAAAGAAATCTTTCTAAATGAACGGATTGAGTAGATAAAATATTGATTCTTATCCTAATATCAGCTCAAGAGGTGACTATTTTTGCTTCTAGGTATCTAACTCTAAATGGGGAGGGCAGTATTTTTCTGTTCTTTAACAACAACACTTGGTATTTGACAACTGACCTTTACAAAGTATTTGCAAAGTGCTTTACTATACATGATCTCCTTTGATTTAAAATACCCCCCCCACCTCCATTAGGGAGGGTGCATTGACACTAAGGGACTCAGAGACTGAAAAACTCTCTTTCTGTTTTCTATTTAAGTGACCCAGTGGGCTGAGGAGCCAGAATGTTCTCTTTGTTACAGTATTATGTGACCGTACTAAGTGCATAAAGGAGAGATGGGCCCCTCAAATGAAAAAGTAAGTTTCATAAGAAAGGCCCGAGAGCTCAGTGCTTTTCATGGAAGTGGAGGAAAAAGATGTGAAGGTCAACTAGTTCATGTGCTTAATCATTGAGGACATTCTTACACTGGGGGAGTGGGGTAGACTTACGTGACCTTGAAGGTCTCTTCTAACTGAGATTTGAAGAGTCAAGGAATATTTACAAAGCCCCATTAATGATAGAGAGGCAGCATGACAAGACTTTTCACATTATGACATTTTTTTTCCTCTTCCTCCCCCACCCCAGAAATTTTTTTTAAAAGAACATAGTGCCTGGCATACAGTAGGAGCTTTATAAATGCTTGCTGATCGAGGTTTCATTGGGAATAAAGATTTGATTCTACCAAATTAACATCTGGTTGCTTAGCCCCCTGTTTAATGTCTCTGTTAGGTACAACCAAAGAGCTTTAGAATATCGGGGAAAGGGACCAGTAGAGAGATGCTCGAGTGCACCTTAGGGAGACAAACTGCTGACTGTGGGACCAGGATCGAACACCACCAAACTGTACTTCAGAGCAGCCTTGAATGTCATAGCCACACTCTTAAGGGTCTTAGGAAACCAGGACCCCTGGGGCTTGAAATGGGGAGACCAGGCTGAAATGAGCTTCCGTGGGCCTGTCCTCAGTGTCTACTCTCCTAAGAAAGCCGTTTTGTGGCACGCCGGGAAGTGTTTGTAGGATATTTATGAGAGATTCCTGGACAGAGTTTTTTCCATGGAACAAAATTTTCTGACTGGTCAAGGAAATGCTTTAGAACTCACTAGCTACTGAATTTAGTGAAAAGTAGTCGAATTAAAAAAGATGCATCTATAGTGATGCATTAGTCAGAGGCTAGATTAAAATTTATTCAAGGCAGCAGTTCTGTGATTGTTTTATTCGACACTTTGAATATTTTGAATCATGGGATACATGGACCTATAAGGAAGGAGCAAATTAAAATTTTCAGATATCTAGATGATCATTTCATGCACCAGCAGAGGCATTTACTAAATGGAGGCTGTTTGCCTGAAAGAATCATTGCATCCTGAAAATTTAAGCCGTGTCTTCCTCTTTACTGGCGGAAATCAGGCCGAATTTGGCTTTTTCTCTGTTTTCTCCTCTTCTCTCTCTTTCTGTTTGTGTGTTGAAATCAGAATGCATAATTCTATCCAGTCCTCAAATATAACACATCCCATGTGCTTTGAAATATTTCTGAGAAGCCTGGTGAGCTATTAGCACATTGATGCTTACAGTAATTTATGAATGCATCCCATGGTTATGATATTGTCACCCATTCAGAGGATTCCTTTCACTCCAGCAATTCATTGTTGTGTGGTAGAATCGAGAGCCTTTTCTTATTAATCCTCACACCACTCCTGTGAGGTAGGTAGATGACAAGAACTCTCCCCATTTTGCAGATGAGGAAACTGAGGCACAGAGTGGTGAAGTGACTTGCCCAAGGTCACACAGTGGTGAGTCCACAGCAGTTTGAGGATGGGATGAGAAAAGGATAATTTTGTCCCCAAAATTAAGAAAGGAAAGGGAGGACTTCTAATTCCTAGCCTTTGACACTATTTGCTGGATTGATTTCTCTTAATACTCTCTCATGGAGAAAGAGATAATCATTGTTGGTATCTTTAGCTCTATTTTTGAAAGAAATTTGTTGCTTTTTTTGGGGGGGGGGGAAGAATGTTTTTTGTTCTCCATCAAAACCAGGTGGATTTTTTAATTCCTTTTCCCTTTGTTCATCTCTTCTTCATTTTGCTTTCACCAGTTACGGTTTTGGCCAGACTCCTTCATATAACAAACTACAAAATAGCACCATTGTACTAGAAAACAGAGTTGTACATATGATTTGATAATATTCTGTATTAATGATATGCTAAATTTTACATACTGCTTTTACATGTGAAAAAGTAAAAGGAAGAAATGACTTAGATCACAGAAGGAGACACTGAGCACTCAGCAAATTGGGACTAGGGTCTACAAAAGAATTTGTTTTGCAAATTGTGTCTACTTGCTTGTGGAGGAAGAGGTGGGGGGTGCAGGGGGGGGAGCAAAGAAAGCTTTCTTTTTAAACTAAACGGATCCAACCCATATTTGGTCCAAGTGCCACAGATGGGAAGCTGTGTGTGTTTGAAAATCTCATGGTGTTACTTTCCTGCTGGGGGTTGGCTACTGAGAGTATTTGCATCGTGCAAATGGAAAGGGAAGGGAGAAGACAGACAACCGTTATCTGACACCATTAAAACAAACAGCCCTGTTGTTTGTTAAAGAAGTGCAAATAAAAATAAAACACACACGCACAGACATGCACGCACTCACGCACACATGCACACATGCACATTTAGACAAGGCTGGTGAATGCGTTGCTCTCCCAGCCAAGGGTTCATAGATCGATTCTGAGCAATTGCAGCTATGGAGGCCCATGGACTTGTGGGCTTTTGAGAAGGAAGGGAATATATTTTGTTTTGCTTTTGTACAGGATAGTATAGAGAAGTTACAGAATCAGAGAGCAACATAGCAGCTCTGGGAAGATGTTTAGCAAGGAGTTGACACTAGTCTTTTAAAGAGGTTTAACATTGGAATGTTAGCTCAGTCCATCCCCCACCCCCACCCCACTAGGAGAATGCCCATTGCTTTGCCTTTTCATCAAGCTTATTAAAACAACTGGTGTGTTTGGTTTTTGTTTTTAAAGTCTTCCAATGTTGAACAAATAACTTATTTACAGAGAAGGATCCTGCAGAGGTGGCATGTTCATTCTTCGCCCCTGGATGGTAGGTCTTACATTCTGTAGTTCCTGCTTCCTGAGCTTCCTCTGCTTGCGTTCTTCAAATGTATTTCCTGAAAATGAACAAAAATAATCAGTCTTAGCCAGGGACTTCGTGAGTGCACCTTCTCTGCAATTTCATCTTAGAAAGTTGCCTACAGAAGCTGTATTCAAACATTTTTGGTCTTGGGACCACCTTGACACTCTTAAGAATTATTGAGGACCCCAAAGAGTTTTTGTTTATATGGGTTATATCTATTGATGTTGACTGTATTAGAAGCTAAAATGTTAGCATTATCATAAAATAGTTTGAACCTCATGGATCCTTTTGGACCCCTCCAGACCCCTGAATGTTTTCAGAACCACTGACCTAGAGCACTGAGATGTTAAGTGACTTATTCGCCCAGGATCATACAGCTGGTATGGGTCTGCTGAGGTAGGACTTGAACTCAGTTCTTCCTTTCCTCAAGACTGGCTCTCTATTCACTATGCCACACAAATCCCAGTCTTAACCAACATATCAATAATATTCAATTCAACTCACAAATATTTATTTAATGCTCATTATGTATGAGGCATTGGGGATATAAAACCCAAAGCAAGATAGTTCCTATCCTCAAGTAAGACATTTACTTTCCATTTACTCTATCTATCTATCTATCTATCTATCTATCTATCTATCTATCTATCTGTCTGTCTGTCTGTCTGTCTGTCTGTCTGTCTGTCTGTCTGTCTGTCTGTCTGTCTATCTGTCTGTCTATTTAATGTATGTACATTGTTACTTGCATATTGTCTCTCCAATTAGAAAGTGAGCTCCTTGAGGGCAGGGACTGTGTTTTTGCTAGTGTTTAGCAAGTGCCCGACACATTCTAAGCACTTAATAAATGTTTGTTGACTGACTGACTACTGGTAGATACAAGAACATAAAATAAATAGACACAAAGAATTTATGAAGTAATTGTAAGGAAAGAAAAGGCTAGTAACTGGGGGTCATAAAATGTCTCATGTAGGAAGTGGTACTTGAGTTTTCAAGGAAGTTTGGAATTCCGCATGGCCAAGGTGAGGCGGGAGTGCATTCTAGACTTGGGGACCACTTCCCACTACTAAATATGGCCCTTGGATAATTCTATACCACATCCCAAGAAGTATGTTTTCTTTGGGCTTTTACAGAGAAGAGCTTTTTTTATTTAGGAGAGGTGCTAAGAATCATAAATGTTATAGGAGTTCTTAACCTGGAATCCATGAAGTTACTTTTTTAAAAAATTGATAGTCATATTTCAATATAATTGATTTTCTTTGTAATTGAGTATATTTTACTTTACACATGTAAAAGCATGATTCTAAGAAGGCGTCCATAGATTCACCAGATTATGAAAAAGGTCTAGGGCTGAAAAAAAGGTTAAGAACCTCTGATCTCTTGATCCTTTTTGCCTACTTTTGCTGACCATAGAATACTCTATACTAATGAAATTACAGGTTCTGTCCCTATCTTCTATGTATATAATAAAAAGAGGCAGTGTGGCCCAGTGGATAGAGAGTTAGCCATAGAGTAAGGAAGACATGAGTTCAAGACATGGGTCTAAGACACATCATGTTTATACGACATGGGCAAGTCCTTTAACCTCTCACTGTTGCTGGCAAGTCACTAAGAATATAACTTGGAGAGCAGGTGCTAATCTACCTTGGTAGAGGGAGTTTCTTTACCAGAAATTCCAACAAAATTACAGGCCTAGTTCAACCCTCTTCCCCCAGTTTGAGTAGATAATCACAAGATTGAGCCACTGGAAGGATCAGGTAGTTCAACCCCCTACTTAGAGCATAAGCACCGTCTACCATATCCTTATCATCTCATACACAGTAGCACTTAATAAAGGTTTTCTATCTCATTCCGCTCTGCACCACTCCATTCTGCTCTATACAAGCGGACATCCAACTTCTATTTGAAGGTCTCCAGTGACTAGGTACTCATAATTTCACAGGACTGCCTACACATTTCCTTTATAGTTGTTTTTAATGGCTAAGAAGTTTTCTATTGATTCCATATTTGAGTCCCTTTAAATTTCGCCTATTGGTCCATGCTCTGGGACCAAGAAGAATAAGGCAAATTTTCCCTCACATAGCTCTTGAAACATTTGAAGGTAGTGATGACTTTTCCTTAATACCCCTGAATGGCACCTGAAATTATTATTATTATTTTTAAGTGAAAACTGAATGTCAAAGCTGGAAAAGCCCTTAGAGGTAACAGTCCAACCCTTTCTGAGGAAACTGAACCCCAAAGACATGAAGTGTAACTTGACATTTATGGGAAATTCTGTCCAGTGGTTCAGCAGCAAAAGAATCTGAGCAGCCTACCTTATAGGCTTATCTTGCCCTGATAGTTGACTCTTTTGCACACCCCTGAAAAATGTTAGTACAGTGGTTAGTACAGTTAGTGTAGGAATTTATGGGGAATGGAGAAAGAAGAGAAGAAATCAGCCTCAGGCTCCCAGACATTGATTGAAAATATGCAAAAGCAAGAGCTTTTCCTTTGATCTTGTCAGTTGCAGTATACTGTGAAGATGTGAGGATTCCCTCTCCCTCAATGAGGTAAGAACATTAATATAGTAGCATATTGAGAGAAAAGGGTGAGAGGAAGGAGGGGGAGAGATAGAGAAGGGAAGGAAATGGGAGGGAAGAAGGAGAGAGAGAGACAGAGACAGAGAGAGAGAGAGAGCTAGAGAGAGAGAGAGAGAGAGAGAGAGAGAGAGAGAGAGAGAGAGAGAGAGAGAGAGAGAGAGAGAGGAGAGAAGAGAGAAAGGAGATCTGTTCCTTACTATGTGTGTAGTCAGGCTAGACCTGCTGACCCCTAACGTCCTTTTCAGATTGGAATCTTGTGACCAGTTCAGTGACTGATCTCTATAACGGTCTATCAATATTAGGCATAGTATCAATCAGTCACTAAGTATTAATTAAGCACTCACTGCATGCCAGACACTGTACTACTTGCTTAGGATACAAACACAAAAATAAAAGAGTTTCTGCCTTTGGGGGTTTACATTCTAAGAAGGCAGCAGTATGTATATATCTAAGTAAAATGGTCCTTTTGGGTGGGTGGAAGGAGGAGGTCCTAGCAGCTGGGGGCACTGAGGAAGGCTTCATGTAGAAGGTGATCCTTGAACTAAGCTTTAAAGGTAACTAGGGATTCTAAAGCATGGTAGTAAGGAGGGACTGTGTTCCTGATAGGAGGTAACAATTTGAGAGACAGACAGAGAGACAGAGTGAGAGATAGAGATACAGAGACAGAGAGAGATACACACAGAGACACAGAGAAGAGGGACAGACAGAGGCACACACAGAGAGGAGAGACAGAGGAGAGAGAGACACATACAGAGATACAGAGAGACAGAGACAGAGAGAGGGAGGAGGGAGAGAGGGAGACAGAAAGAGAGTCAGAGACAGAGACACTCGCAGAGAGAGAGAGAGAGAGAGAGAGAGAGAGAGAGAGAGAGAGAGAGAGAGAGAGAGAGAGAGTTAGTTCTAAGTATCTAAGTCAGAAAGACTGCAAGTCTTCCAGTCTCCAAGGCTGGTGGTCTCACCACTATGCCACCTAGCAGGCCTTTAGCTAGGAGTCAGAAGATGATTTTCCTCTCTGCTCTCAAAGAGGGTGTTAGTTTTAAGCCTGAGTGGGTGCAAATTCATAAAGATTAATTTAGCCTCTTCTTTGAGGTGTGTCTCCATAGCCAAGTAGAGGCATAGATATAACTCAGCTGAGCAAAGTGAACTTCTTCCCAAGTTGCCCATTCCCCTCCTTCCCTCCCTCCCCCTACTCTCCCTGCCGCAAACATACATGGCTGTGACTGTTCCAAACCAGCTGGAATGTCTGCTTTGCATTTGGCTCGGTTCCCAAAGTCTCACACACACTTTCTTTGGTGCAGACAATGGAAATAACAAAACAAAAGCACTTAGGGACTGTGGTCTCAGTTACATCTTTTGCTTGGCTCATTATCTTAACTTAATTACCCAGGGTAGTGTTGACAAAGAATGGCAAGCATTGGCCGTGAGGGCAACCAAGATGGTGCCCACTTTTTAATCCCATTTTGCTGGGTACTGAAACTATTCCTAATTTGGCAAAAATCATCCCAAATTTCTACAAACTTGTCAATGTGATTAGGTATTTAAAAAGGAAAACAGCAATGAGCTAAAAAAAGGAATTCTATCTTTTAATGTCACAAGGGAATGGGTAATCATTTAGGCCAAATTGGGAGGGACCCTGAAAGCCATCTAGTCCAACAGTTGGTGACCAAAAATCCCCTCTATCATACTGGCTATGGAGTCAGAGGGTCTAGTTCAAAAGCCTGCCTCTAATGTTTGCCACCTATGTGACCTTCGACATGTCATTTAACCAGTCTGGGCCTTAGTTTCCTCATCTGCAAAATGAAGGGGTTGAAATAGATGGTCTCTGAGGTCTCTTTTAGGGCAGCTAGGTGGCACAGTAAATAGAATGCTGGGCCTAGAATCAGGAAGGCTCATCTTCCTGAATTCAAATCTGGCCTCGGACACTTATTAATTGGGTGACCCTGGTAAGTCTTAATGCTGTTTGCCTCAGTTTCCTCATCCATAAAATGAGCTGGAGAAAGAAATGGCAAGCCACTCCAGTATCTTTGCAAAGAAATTCCCAAAGAGTCAGACATAACTGAAATGACTGAACAACAACAGAGATCTCTTTTAGTTCTACATCTGGGAACCTCTATGTCACTTTATATCCTTGGGCCTCAGTTTCCTCATCTGTAAAATAAAAGGGTTGGACTTTGAGGTCCTTTTCAGCTTTAGGTTGATGATCTAATGACCTTATAATCTTAAATCACTTAACTTTCCTGGACTTCAGTCAGCCGTCAATCAATCAATCATAAGTATTTGTTGGGCTCCTACTGGGCCCTTTACTAGGTGCTGGGGATACAAAGGCAATTATAGGGTGGGGTGTTTCATAACTAGGCTGTATCAACTGGGGCTTTGTCTCAGGCCGCTACAGTTTAGATGGTGCTCACAGCACTTATGCTCCTTCTGAGGTATAGGAGCAACTGAGCTGAATTCAGCC